TCAGTTCAAGTTCAGTATTTCCTTGTAAGATTTATGTATGGTTCATTTATCCAAGTTGAAAGAGATTGAAGCCCCCTATCATTTCTTTCTTTCTTCATATCCATTAATAATATGCTTTCTATTTTGTGCTTCAGCATTGGGAGCATAGACATTTATGCTTATGTATTCTTAGTGAATTGACACCTTTAAGACTAACTAATGACTTTGTCTCTTGTAACAGTTTTTGAGTGGAACTCTATTTTATTTAATCATCGCCACCCCAGCTCCCTTTGTTAGAGTAAAGGGTCTTTCTTACATTTGCACCCCTCCATCTCTTGCCTCTGTTTACAGGCCATTCTTTCACTGGACAGGGTCCCAGGAGGTTCCCTAACGGGGGTGGAAAACTTAAACCTACCTTATTCATAGAGTGAGTTTGCAGATTAGCCGATTCCAATCTTGGAAAATTAATTTTCAGAGCACATCAAGTGGCATAAAAGCATTTATTAGGCAGAAATTTAAAAGTACACACTCAAAGAAATAGAGTGTAGGCCCTCAAGAGAAAGGGAGGTGTTTCATGATCTAGAGTTGGGTATGTCTTTGTGATCTTAAGGGTGGGTGATGTTGGATTTTTATTGCTATCTATAAGGCTGCCCAGGGAGCCTGCCCATTAGCTCAGTTGTTTAAGTGCCTGCTTAATCAAAGCAGTCAGGTTCTAGATGTTGTGGTTCTATCCCAGATCCTCATGGCTTATCAGACCTGCCCTTAAGGCATCCTTAGCCAGCCCCCCCCCCCAAAAAAAATCCTTGCTGCCCCACTGTGGTGCTGCTTCCTTGAGGAATGGAGTCTGTGGGAGGAAATACAAATTACAGGTGACAAGCATAGACCTAGAGCCTACTTTGTAGGCTGCTAGGACAGTTAAAGCCCTTAGGACAGTTTCTGTTGAATGACTTTCTGGGGGAGAGAAGAAAAAGGCTTAAGTTCTTTGTCTTTAAGCTGCAGCTTTTATTTTTTTTGGTTATAATTTTCAAATTCCAATTTTTCATATGTTCTTTTTATCTGTTTTAATCCTTCCTCATTTTGAAGATTGTATTGTGGAAGCCTCTGTGAGATCTAACATTTTTACACTGTATGTTTTACTTTTTTCTTTGTAATTCAGATTTTTTAATAAAATTTTATTTTAAAGAATAAAAACAAAAGCAAAAACATTGCATAAACAAAGAACTGGAGATGTGGTTCAGTGGTAGAATACTTGCCTAGCATGTGAGCTCTTGCCTAGCCCTGGATTCAATCCCCAGTACTGCAATAAATAAACAACACAAATTAGAATACCTTTTGGGCCAAGGAGATAGCTCAGTAGAATAAGGGCTTGCCTGGCAAGTGCAAGGCCCTGAGTACAATCCCCAGTACTGAAAAAAAAAAAAAAAAAAAGACAGAAACATTAACATACAACAAGACATATGATACAGAATTTCAAAACAATAAAAAGTTAACAGTGATTGTTATGTATTTTTATCATCAAATCTGTTGCTCAGATTAACTGATACAGGTATGCAAGATTGGGAAAATAAACATTAACATTTGCTTTCAATAAACCTTAATTTTGGGGCTGGTGAGATGGCTCAGTGGTCTAAAGCACCTACTTTGAACAAGCTTAGGAAAGCACATGGACCGCGGTTCAATCTCCCAGCACCACATGCCAGCCAGCCCCGCCCCCAGGCGGGCTGAGCTGGCCACACACACACACACACACACACACACACACAAATAAATAAAAAAATTTAAAAAACCTTAATTTTTTCTTGTCCTTTTTACTTTTTATTTTTATATTTGTTTTAGAGAGAGCATAATAATTGTTAAGACGATAGAACCAGTACACATTTAGAAGAACAAGCTGAGAGGTATTAAACCATGATTTTTTTATTGCACATGGCTGTCTTTGATGTAGTTGCTCAAATTGCAGATATTAGTGTATAGTTAAAAGTGAAAATTTTAAACATTAACTGCTACTTTAAAAAACTGATGGAAAGTAGTACTATAATCATCTCGGCCATCCTGTATATATACTTGCATGATTTTTCCCTTTTTTTCCCTGTCTTTTCTCCTTTTGTAATTAGGATTAATAGGACTATTGACTTAAGCAAATTATTTTTTTAAATCTTTTTTTTTTTTTTTAATCTTTTTGGGGATAGTCTATCTTATTTTCTTTTCTTGTTTTTGTATTTTCGCAATGTAATATTATAAAAATATGTACAAAATTTGAGAAATAGGTGTAATGGCTAGTTAATAGTGTTAGGATTTCAGAATTAATAGTATGTTAAGGTAAGTACTTAAAATGATATATCTGGCTCTTTGTCACATTCATGAACTGTGACTCTCTGCCGTGAGCCACTCTGCCTGGGAACCAGCTGAGTATGAGCTGAAACCTCCACTAACTGTGAGCTAAATAAAAG